TAGAATAGAATAGAATAGAATAGAATAGAATAGAATAGAATAGAATAGAATACCTTTATTGTCGTTGCATTCTACAAATACAATGAAATTTGAAAGCTACTCCAGCACAGTGCCCCAAACACCACATCACAATCACACTACAGAGTATTTAAAAATTAAAATAATTAAAATAATAATAATTAAAAACCTAGTCTAAAACCTATCTAAAACATATAGTAAGTTAGATAGTTTAAAAATGCCATTATATACATAGGGCTAAATCACATATGCATTGTTTGATTCAAGAGAATTATTGCCTTGGAAAAGAAACTGTTTCTCAGTTTATTAGTCCTCATTTTAAGACACTTATAGCATCTCCCTGATGGTAACAGTTCAAAATATGAATGACCAGGATGAGAATGGTCTGTGGAGATTTTTAGTGCTCTAGAGAGGACTCTGGTCTTCACAATGTCTTCCAAAGAAGAAAGAGAGCAACTGATGATTTTTTGTGCTGTGTTTATAACTCGCTGGAGCATCTTCTTATCCACTACAGAGCATCTAGCATACCACACCGTTATACAGTATGCCAAAATGGTCTCGATGGTAGAACAGTAAAAAGTAACCAGCAACTTCTCACTCAGACCACTCTTTTTTAGCAGCCTCAGAAAGTGCAGGCGCTGTTGGGCCTTCTTTGCAGCGGCCATAGTGTGGACCAACCAAGTAAGGTTGTCGGAAATATGAGTTCCTAGAAATTTAAAATTATGAACTCTTTCCACACAATCTCCATTGATATATAGTGGAAGAGGCTCTGCTTTGCATTTTAGTGACTCCAAAGCCAATTTTGCCCCTTAATTGCATGAAGGTGAAAATTCAACATGTAGAACGGTAAATGTCACCTTTGTAGTGAAAAGAATTGACCATTTAAGTAATTTCACAAACTGATTATAGGCGTCATCATTGTTAAGCCTGGATTCCCCAACGGGTGTTAAGGAAAACAAACTAAACAGAATGTGCAGCTAGGAAGACAGGTAAATGTGTGAGATAAGTTTTCTAGTTAACACGCAGTAAAAATACAGATACGCTTGTGCTATCAAAAATATAGTTTATTCCATTTAAGAATTATAGCATAGTCAAAATAAACGGTCCATTAGTCATATATCAATTTCAGTCAAGTCCTGTCGGGGATACTCTATTTGCAAAGTCCGTGTTGAATAGCCAATGTCAGTTCACTTACAATAAATCAGTCCAATCTTTATCTTCTCTCCGTTGAGAAAAATCAACACTCCTTTTTCTCTCCCCGTTCCAGCAAGAACGCAGTCATCAATCCATCCAGTAATTAGGGATCTTCAAGCCAGAGAGAGAGAGCTGCTATTGCCTGGCTTCTTATATAGTGCTTTTACAACCACACCCTTAATTACATTCTTGCAGTTAAAGTTACAAACACTTTAACTAACAAACCATGATACCTTATTTATTATTTTTACCCAAACCAGTTAGGGTAAACAATGTTATCCCTAACAATCATGACCAAGTTGCCAAGATTATTCATTGGAAACTTTGCCAGATGTTTGGATTTGAATGTGATAAAAACCTACTGGACCATCAAGTTGAGAAGGTTTTGCAAATGAGAGGATAAGATCTTATAGGACTTTAAGATCCAAACAGACAACCATCTTGTTTATAACATGCCTGATCTAAAGGAACAAATGAATATTCACAGTGATGCTAGGATTAAGGAAAAACAATTGGGGGAAAACCTATATTATGAGCCGCAGTGGCACAGTGGTTAGAATGCATTGCTATAGGCTACTTCTGCTGCCTGCAATTTAGCAAATTGAATCTCACCAGGCTCAAGGTTGACTCAGCCTTCCATCCTTCCAAAGTGGGTAAAATGAGGACCCAGATTGTTGGGAGAATATGCTGACTCTGTAAACCACTTAGAGAGGGCTGTAAAAGCACTGTGAAGCAGTATAGGTGCTGTTGTTATTATATTACATCAATTAGATATAGGAAATCTGGTAGCCTTTGAGATGTTACTGGATTACAACTCTTATATGTTTTCTGCTGCTGGTAGAAGTTTGTGTCCCAAAACATTGAAGGACTACATAGTCTCTAACATGGTCATCAGGTCAAATAAAGATGAACCCAGCTATACATTACAGAGGATACATATATCACTGCTAGTGTGTAGGAAGTATCTTCCAGAAGTTAATTATGAAAATTACTCAGACTAAGCATATAAACGGAATCCATTGTAGAATTGTCAAAGGGGAACCTTACAGCATAATCTAATGCAAACATATCCAGATACAAATTTTACAGCATAAGTCTGCTTTGTTTGCTTGCAAATTTTGTTCAAGATTGTAGCCTTAAGGTGTAATGGATGCATAATCTTGCACAATTTTGTCAAACAGTATAACCGAAAGGTTAGGAGATACATTAAACTTGTTAAATATGCTACCTTGTATTTTCTTGGGGGGAAAAGTATGAGGTATAATTATAAAGTTCATAAAATATTTTCATTCTAGCAGTGATAATTTTCATTCCCCAGAGAAAGCAGGAACAAACACTTATGTATTGACTGTTCAGCTCTGAAATGAGTATAAGTGCTTCTAAAAATCAAGCACCTAAGATTTATAGAGTTTGTACTACAATAAATTCTAGTTTCCTTCAGATGTCTCCTTTCTTGTCTTGCTATTGCTAACATCACACCTTCCTCTTTTATCTCCTTCCTCAAAAGGCTTAAATTTTAAGATTTACAATGTAAGTCCATTTCTTGTATCGTTTTCCCACTTGGGAGTGCAATGAGAAGGTTGCTTCTTTTCTTCACAGCTTTCTTTTTACTTTTATTTAGTATGTTATCCGCTAGTGTTCTCCATTCATTTCCCCACCCCCACCCCATTTCA